ACTATTTTGCAGTCTTGGCAAATTTGCTAGCAAAATACGAATTACATAAAGAAACAGCTTGTTGTAATCATTCAAAATTGTTTATTTTGAACATACTGTAGTTATCATATCTGTATCCAATTGAAAACATTTAATAAAAGTTCACATAATTCTGTTTGAAATATTAATAATATCAATCTATAAAAATATATTTGAATGTTTAAATAAAATGAATTCGGAACAGTAACTAACTATGAAATGATTTTCATGAAAGACAATAAATAATATATATAATATATATATAAATAATAAATAATATAATTCTTAAAAAATGTGTCCATCATGTTAAAATTGACACAAATATAAATTTACATAAATCTGTTGACTATAAATTTCTTTCTTGAAATTAGAATGATTATCAATGATATCATTCTAAAAATATATATTTGAATGTTAAATATTATAAAATTTGGAAACTGTAACTATGAAATGATTACCATCATATCAAAATATATATTTGAATTTTGAAAAAGTATAACTTTGTAAACAGTACTATTTTAAATAAATAGTACAGATTAAGAACAAATAAACAATATAATTATTCTAGACAAATATGAATGCCTTATAAAGGCCCATKTGGTTACATGTACATCGAATCAATCTTATGCCTTTACAGTCAATTTTAAATTGGCAAAAGAAAATACACCCTTCTCATCCTTCCTGATGACTTTTTTAGACTTGTACAGTGCCTCTCCAAGAAGTTCGACCAACTGTTTTTTTTTCATTTGCCTGGAGAAGRCAATCTTAGCATATTTTAATGCTTCTCTTAAATTTTTCATTTGGACATCTGCTAATGTCTTCGTCTTCAGGTAAAATAATGCAACAATAGTTGCCTCTGATTTTGATCTGCAATTAAATGGAAAAAAATGGTTAAGTACTGTATATCACCAAATTTTTAAATCAACCAATGTGTGAGCATTGTTTGTATGTGTTATTTACTGATGGTATTGAATYATAAATTCAATAGTACAATAAAATTTAGAATAAAGGTATAATGGCACTGATGTCAATGTACTGTGATATAAATATACCAGTAGATGTGTAGAGMACAGCTCAAGTAAGCATGAAACACAAGCTTGCCAATTTTTAACAAGCTTAAAATTATAACAAAAAGATGTTCAAGTATGTTGGGTTTATGCTCATAAATTGCATACTCAGATACATCAACCTAAACAATTTTGTTTTTATTAGCCCAAGGTGTTTTGTAGCTTTGTTACCGAGAAGATGCTTGATTAAGGGAAAGCTTTGGCTAATTAAGTAAAATTTGTCTAGGGTTAAAGTATGGAGTGTAAAATTATGAGCTTAAAGTGTAAGGCTTGTCTTATTCTGTAGTTAGTGATGTAGTGTACAGCAAGTGACAAGCAATTCTTACCAATCCAATTTCCCGCAGGAATTGTTTGTTACGTTCTATTCTTTCATTGCGTTGCCGCAAAAATTGACACTGCTCTTGTTCCTGAGACAAAGAAAAGAGTCATAAACACTCTAGTTTTCAATGAAAAAGGATAACACATCTGTGYTCAYGGATGTATTTGTCACATGAAGGGTTATTTTTTATTAGTGATGTTCTATTTTGATAGTTTAACTTCAATTTTGATACCTCTTCATTTTCTTCCMCGTTACAGTCGCTTGCATCCTTCAASAAAAAAACATTCATTTCTCTATTTGCAAAAAAATTGTATAATAAACATTCCATTTAAGTTTGACAAATTTATAAACAATGCTTACTTTCTCTTGGGCGACCCTTTTTTTTATTAGGTTGCTCCTCATCAGCAATCTATAAAAACCTCACATACTATTTAGAGAAAAAAATAATAATTTTTTGAAAATTGGATAGTTTTTCAGATATCAAACTTAATTAGCCGTACATTAACACAAATGAAATTAATCAATTAATAAGGTACTTACTTCTTTGAGATGGGGCCTTTTTCTTATCTGTTGTTCCTCCTCAATGTCAGCAATCTATAAGTAGAACAACATATTTTATTTAGAGATCAGTGACTTGAAAAGTGTAGCATGATATATAATTTTTCATACATTTATGACAAACTTAATTAGCCTTACATTAACATTAAATTAATTAAAATTATAAATCAGCTATTCAAGAATAGATTATCTTTCTTATTTTCTCGGATTGGTTAGGCACACTTAACTTTACACCACACATTGTGTCTTTTTATGTGGGTTTCACAATTTTATACAAAGTACTTACTTCTTCATGCTGGAATCTACTCTTCGCTTGTTCCTCCTGAACATCAGGAACAGCAATCTATAAGAACAACATATTTTATTTAGAGATCAGTGTCTTTTGAAGTAGAACATGATTATAATTAACTTAAGCCTTTCATTAACAAAAATTAAATTGGTCAATCAACTTTCAATAATATATTATCTTCGGTTATTGTCTCGGATTGGTTAGATACATTTTACACCACACCCTGTGTCTTTTTTGTGGGTTTCACAAATCTTTTCAAGGTACTTACAATTACCTCAGGTTCTAGAGGGAGCCTTCTAGTTGGTTGCTCCTTTAAGAGAAACAAAATAATATATCAGAAATAAGTGGTTTCCATTGCAACTCCAATATCTTTATCCTTCCTTGAGTAGACTTTTCATCCATGAAACATGAATATACTACCAAAGGAGCACAATCCGATTTGTACATTATTTTTTCAAAGGTTTAGGTATACCACTACAAATTGGCCACTATAGATATTTGCCAAAGTTAATTTTATTTTTTCACTTTTTGCTTGTTCTCACATGGAACTGCCCAATAATAGTATTTCTTCATACCTTTTCTCCTTCACAAGTCGTTTTGCTCTTTTTGTTATCCTATATAAGTAATTATTGACATGTAAGGTTTTAAAAATGAACATGATTACTAGAATTTACAAAAGCCATTTAAGACTCATATAACATAGACTGCTTAACTCAAATAGGTACACATGTAGTAAAATGAGAAATACATTTTTATAATATAAAATAAAACATACAAATCAATTTCTTACTTTTCCCTTATATGCACTTGGTTTTCTTGTATGGGACAGTTTATTCCCGATGAAGGCCTTTGCACGCTTCCTGTCAAGTGTAACCACACCATGGCCTCTTACAACACACTTTCCATACTTGATGGCTTTGTCATCGAGGATGACATTGACCAGCAGGTTATTAGCCTGCGCTTCTTCGTGTGTTGTCCCAGAAGACAACCTCAAGGCTCCTCCTCCATGCCACTGAAAATGTCCAGAAACCAAATTACATTTCATCATCTGATATACACCTGAATACTTGATAAATAGCAATTAGAAGATAAAAGTATTTATACTGAGTACCTGATCCATATTTCATTATTTTTAAAGATTTTTATTGTGTATATGTGAGTTGGAATATAAGTGCCAAGATAATTTTAAACTTAAATCAAAATTTACCTTTGTTGCTTTGACCTTCCCTGCCAAATAAGTGGTAAAAGTCTTCAATTCTTCATTTGCAGATTGTGCTTCTACATTCGTTTTCTGTAACTTTAAAATCTCTGATTTCTTTAGCTCTTTAGGCGATGCCTCATTTGATGCTTTACATTCATTTGTGTCTGTGATAAAATAGATAAAACAAATTGGAAGAGAATACCATTATAGTTCATTAAAAAGACAATACACATGCAATACTGGTTGTGTACAACAACATCTATTTGTAGTCTAATAAAAACTTAATTTAAGGAGACTGGATATATTTAAACACAAATGTGCAAATGCTAATTACCTGTGTCCATACAGTTGTTTGACTGGACTTTGTCATTGATCCCTATAGTAATAAATTTTAATTGTAAGTTAATGTTTTTTCTTACTTAGGAATTAATAACATGATAACTTGATTAAATTAATTCATACTGACAGACAAAATATGCACTGCTTGTGTAAGCTCATGCAATCTTTTTAAAGTCACTTTATTTTGCTAGACAAACAGATGAAATATTATACTATTTAATTTTATTTACCTGATGAACACTGTTCTGCATCACCTGTTTTTTCTGTGGTGCAGAAAAAGCAATTGTCATTACATAACATTCACATACAAGATAAAGTAAATCTTTTCATGTTTAAATGTCTTAAAAATTATATACCTGAAGAGTGGTGTTTTAATGCTTCTTGCAATTGAAGCAAAACACATACTGGCAGATTCAACTTGTCGACAACCCAGGAATTATTGTCTAAGCTCAGAAAGAGTTTAAGGTCTGACATTTTTTCAAACTGTGGAAAAAAGAGCTATATAAGAATGGCACATAATTCAATAAATTGTATTGATATCCACATACATTCTATTATTGTAACCTTGTTCCATTTTTTTATATTCCATAGGTATAAAATAGTTGTAACTCCACTTCAGAATTTTGAACCTTTTTAACTGACATGATATGACTGTCAGGAAGTCATGTGATATCTGGCTATTGTTTTTTTCCCGCCATTAAAGTGAAACCTGAGTCAGATGAGTCATCATTGATATTCTAGCTTTTGCCCTCTAATTCTACATTACTTTCTGCATGTAAAATGCTGTATTAAGTCTTAAGAATTTCTAAGATGATATGTTAGTTAGATACCACTACATCAAAAGCTTTACTGACGAACCTTTTGTTTCTTGAATTCTCCGACGTAGTCATGGAGACCTGCTCTGATCAAAAACTTTTCTGCTTCTGAAGTATTCTTTGAAATAAACATTGCATTTATTAACTTAATGATTTCCCTATAGTTGTGAATCTAAAAACGAGTTAAACTTATTTCAATTAAGCTCAAAATGTGGAGTTTGTTTAAGACCGTAGTTATCCACAGTATGGTGACCCGAGGGTTCAAAACAAACATCGCACTTTTTGCGTTGAAAATACATTATTTTACTCATTGCAGCCCGACATAATAAACAATATATACTAACCTCTAGAGATTCCATCGAAGTTCCTATTGAAAGTTCAGTTACAGGAAGAAAAAAGCGGTCGACGTTGTAGATTATTCTGGTTGTGCGTACACTTCAAAAAGAGCGGGAATGTATAACGGTCGCGCCTGCACGACAACCAAGCAGCGGACCAAATTCTGGTCATGCGTATTCTGGTATAGTAGACCGAGGTCCTACACGTGTGTTCAAGTGTAAACAAACCAAAACAAGCCACAAAAACAACCATAAAACTCATATATTCTGTTTTAATCTACGTCAACGTGGCTTCCAATAGTGAGAACGTAGAGGACGATTCAGAAACAGGTAAGCCAATAAGGAATTATTTACTCGCAAGCTTAAATATAAAGAGCCCACAGCTGAGCTTTGTTAGTAAAAAGACTGAACGATACACTGCCTTTTAGGTTTCCTTTTTTTCGAATTCAACCCAATTGATGATAATAGTTTTCCACTAAATAATGATTTCGATTGAGTCTATTAGAAATCAATTCTCTTGAAACAATATCAAAACCACACCAAAAAAAAATCATTGTGTCAAATTCAATATGTCAAGAAAAAAATTAATTATTTCTGAATTCTTTGTCTGCAGGTAMTAATCACGACAGATTGCCTTGCCACTGTAAATTATGTTGTGGAAAAATTCGAAATAGGAAGACTGTTAAACGGCACTTCCGGCATCATCCATACAGGAGTAACGATGAACAATCAGTACCAGATGTTGTTAATTAATGCTGGAGTCAAGACATTGACACGATTATCAATGTCACTGGGAGCTATGTACATAATCCATCCCCTGATTACTGTCTTATGTCAAATAACACTGAAAGTCTTTTTAAAGATGATGATGGTTCAAGTAACCATGATGACACATGTAGTAATCCAAGTAACCATAGTGAGGACACAGATGTCCCCATACAATCTGAATTATCGGATGATTCCTTTGGTGACCTTAGCGATGACTCAGATACYGATGTCTYTGTGCAATCATCATCTGCAGCATCACAAGCTTCAATGAGTGACAGTGATGAGGGAAGTGATGAGGAAAGTGATGGTGAAATTGATAAGGAACTTGAAAGGTGCATTTTAAGAATAGTCTCGTATAAAATTAAATATGGATGGTCTCAGAAGGAAACTCTTGAACAATTACAAAGTCTATATGAGCTCACTAAGAATGAAAGTATTCCTCATAAAACATGGCTTGCTGTCTTAAAGTTACTAAAGAAATTGGGATATAAAGACSCAAAACATTTCAAGATATGCTGTGCAAGGGATCATGTAATACTGGTTGAGGATGATGAATGYCCAAGATGTRACAAACCAAGGGCTCAATGTGTTRACTATTTTGTTCTTGGACTTAATGTGGAATCGATATTTATTAGTAAGAAAAAGTTRAAAAACCATCTTGCCCACTGGGAAGACAAGAATGAATGGTTCAATATCAATCCTATCAGAGTAAAGAAATATGGCATGGATCAAGGTTCCGTGAGCTATCATATTTTTGGGACGARCGTAAAGACAGCATAATGCCAACTTGTTGTCCAAACTGTTCAAGCATTATTTCTGTTGAAGACATTATTCAAAGTGGTGGTATACATGTAAATAGACTTTCTGTTGTGCATTTATCATKCCCAGAGTGCACCTTTGACTTTGTACATACTGTCAAAACTATGGCTGGTAGTCCATTGAATCAAGCATTTATATTCCATGAAGATGGTTTTAATGCATTTTCAAAAAAATCAAGAGGGATTGCTGCTATACATGTGAGCAATGCCTGTTCAAGGAAAAGCCTACGACTCCATGGGGAAAATCTACGTGTGTATAGTTTCATTCCAACGTGTTTGCTAAATGAAGGAATCCCTCACAAGATGGATGCTTTTTTAAAGCCGTTGATTGATGAAATTACAGAACTGTACATTAATGGTGTTGATGTATATGTCCCAGAAGAAATTGAAGTTTCAGATGTTTTAATTGAGAAAGGAAATCACAAGGTACGAGGACTGCTATTACTTGGTACTGYAGACTTAAAAGGGCACCAAGAAATGATTCTCTATGCAGGAGGTATGTATACRAAATGTGCACTACATTGAATTTAGAAAACTTTGTTTTCAACTTACATGTATCTATGTTACAATTTTAAATATTAATAATAATTCATATTTCTTTAGGTGGTAAACTTGGCTGTCGTCGTTGTTTAATGAATGGCATATACATCCCCTGTAAGCGACATTACTACTATGGGAAATTTGGAGAAAGATATCGCAATCCAAGTCAACCACGAACAGCTAAGTACCAGCTAGAAAATGGAAAAAGGGTTGATGATGCTGCAACATTAAGTAGGAGGAAMGAAATCCAGACTGAGACAGGAGTGTGTGGAGTTAGTATTCTTTTTCATTTATACAAATTGTACAAATTTGATCCAGTCCTGGATATGACCATAGACAGAATGCATCTTACATTTAATATGCTTAAGAGAGAGTTTTTGGACAAGATGTGGGCAGACCTTGCAGACAACGCAGGAAAACCTGTTAATGACAGAAATCCAGAAGATGGTGGACTTCTTGACCATACAGAGTTTGCTTCTGCTCTTAAAGCCATAAAGTGGACACCTGAAGAAAAAGCAAAGGGTGTTGCAAGAATGCAGGTGTTGACTGATAAACTTGGTAGCTGGAAGTCTAATGAATTCAAAAGGTAATTATAAAACTTATTAATATTCATAAGGCAAAACACAATAGAAATCATGGCCCATGAAGAGAGTTGTATATTACATACAGATTTCTTGTTCATTTGCATAAACTTTTACTCTGATTTTCTCAGTCAGATTGAGCTGAGCTAATTTACCTTAACGTTCCATAAGTAATATACAATATTCGTGTGCGATCTGTATGAGGATTTAAAACAGCGAGCTTTCACTTTCAGCTCGCTGTTTTAAATCCTCATACAGATCGCCCGCTCATATTGTATATATTACTAAAAATATAAATTAAAACACTTTCAAGACATKTTTTGGCAGTTGTTTCATCAATAAAGTCATAAATGATGCCTTGTAGAAATCTCTCACTCTATTAATAAGTTGGGATACCAAACTTATTAAACAATATCAATGTATCCCATATTTTATTGTTTAYTATTTTTTATAGATTCAGCAGTGTTGCAAGAGAGGTATTGGCCCARAAGATTCCATCAAAAGCATATGATTGCTATATGTTTSTCTGTGAAGYTGTTCAAATGCTGTATAGCACAAAACTACAAGTGAGTGGTTGGAAGATTGAAAATATTGAAAGGCTTGAGARACTACTTTGGGCTCATGCTATTAGAGYAGAGGAATTTTATGGGTTGGCAATTTGTACTGAGAATTTAGAATACTCAGTACATGCCACCCAGGATATATATCGCCAYTCAAGTATGGACAATTACTCGTGTGAATTATATGAGCGGGCAATTCTGACCCACAAAGCACAAAAGCACAATGCAAAAGGCCTAGAAAAGACTTTTGCCACAAGGGAGAACATTAGAAACTTTCTTGAAGATTACCAAGAAAAGCAHGGGCCGCTATCAGAGTATGATGCTGGAAAGACGAAACACAGCTATGATCTTAACAATCTGGTGACWCCAGTACTRCTACATGAAAAATCASTTGATGCAGCCAAAGCATTAATAAATGATTTGAAGGATTCACARAATCCTGAGGTGAAACATGCAATAAGTTACGGTATTAGTGTAGGAAAAGTAGAAAGGAAAGTTTCTCCAGACAGTGTTATTGCTGATATCAAGAGGTTCTTCACTCATGCTGGGATAGTAGTACACAATATCCCCAATGTACTTAATTCACTAAAGAGTATAGCAATAAGAGACGATGTTGGCGRCATYGAAAAGTTCAGTGTTGGAACAACATGCAAGATATCATCCAGTGCAGGAGATGAATATATCATGGAAATRTCTGACATCTTTCAAGTTGGCCCTATTGAAGATAAATATTTTAATTTCGTTAATGGTAAATAYTACATTCCTTGCATCCAGAATGGTGGTGTTGTCTGTCACCCATGGACACAAACACATCAACTCATCGCCAGAGACTACATCCGAGATAGCACACAAGCAGCATGTAAAGTAAAGAGAAAAGTAATCATGTATCCAGATCCCTCAAACCTTGATGATCCTCAATTTTACATTTGTATTGATTTCAAGAATCCCAAGCTAGTAAGAGAAGTGATGGTTCCAGTTTACCCACAAGTAGGAGAAACTGTCCATRTRAGAGGTCCTGGAAATCAAGTGTGGTTTGGGTTGGTTAAAGAAGTTAACTGCACAGACCGTAATGCAATAGTACAGTGGTACAAGGAAACAAGAAGGCAGAATGTGTGGGTTACAATGAACAAGGAAGACTTAATATGGTTTTCATCTATCGTCAAGACATGTCAAACAGYCAGGGTTCTTGGAGGTTATAATATTGTATAAGCCATGAGTACAAGGACCTTACATGTAAATAGTGTAATCCAAATAAGTAAATTTGAATTATTTTGCATTTAATGTATTGGAAATATGAAATACATGTACAGCTATTTGCAATGATTCTGACCCCCTACACTAATATTCACATAATCAAAATAGCCTTAGAAATTATGGGATACCATTGCTGATATTTTTTTTAGAAAGTACTCATTCTGGACAACTCCAAAAATATATCAGTCATGATATCCCATAATATTAAAGGAGGTCATGATCAGTTTGATATAATTATATGGAATATGGCAGAGGGGGTCAAAATTATTGCAAATAGCTGTAAATTATCAATAGACCACCTAAATCACTCTGATACTTTGACATTTCATGATATTATCAATTGAGACTGATATTATCAATATAATTTATAGAGTGATAGTTTAATATATCATATTATCAGTCGTAATCGATATTATCAATAAACCACATAAATCACTCTCACTGATATTTTGATATATGTCTCAATTGCTCAGTTTTCAAAGATGCGTCGTTGCTGGCTCTAAACAATGGTTAGAACTTACTCTAAACAATGGTTAGAACTTATGATTAAATCAAAGAAAGTATTTTATTGCCACCTTGTCCGAGCAAATGTATATATCCTAAATCACTCTAAATTCTGATACTTTGACATTTCATGATATTATCAATTGACACTGATATTATCAATAATTTATAGAGTGATAGCTTAATATATCATTATATTATCAGTCATAATGGATATTATCAATAAACTATCTGGAAGGATGCCCTGTTGTCCATTTTAATTTTTTACCACGACAGTTATGTTTGATTGTTTCATGCCACTGTTTTTGAATAAGTTACTAAAATCAGATCTTTTCATAGTGACAGATAGAATTTTCTCATCAACTTATGGAGCTAGTGTCACAGTTCGTACGATCGTTCAAAGACAAAACCTTTGCTTTCTTAATTGACTCTTCACTCTTGTACTGCAGAAGGACTATAGCTGTCCCAGGTTATACATGTAGGTTCGAATGTATTATTATTATTAGAAAATCGAACGCACGCATCGGATGTCAATTGACGATTATATTCACGAATTCTATAGCGATTGAATTTTGCCGATGTTCTTGTAGTACGTTTTGCATTTATTATGACTATCGATTAAAACCTTGCTCAATTTTTCGATATTATAACGAGTTATAATGCAAGTGAATCGTGTCTTCATCGGCTCGCTATCAAACTCGATATACCTGTTTTTCTTAAAAAATTAATAGATTTCGGTAAATTCGTTTTTTTTATTGGAAAACTTAAATTGAAACATTTAGCTATATATATATATAATGAACTGTTGTGCGTTGTATTTTATTAGAGTGCTAGCCTAGACCTTTATAGGCGCCCCGACGTTCA